AAATTAACTCAGACGTTTATTTATTTGAGCGAGAAATTTTGGAAGGAGATGAAAGAGACATGTTCTCAGTAGTGACATCTACCACATATCTCTATTTCTGTAGAGATAATGGGTTAATTGTATTTTATCTGCCGGTAACTGTACACTGCTGTACATAGCCTTTTTTTTATACAACTTAGAATGGCAAACAAGCTGACGGCCCACCTGATGGAAAGTGGTAACCGTCGCCTATAGACATCCGCAGTATCATAGACATAACAGAGTATACAGTTTCACCCATGATACCCCCCATGCGTTGCCATTTCTGAGGACTCAAGTGTTATTCCTCTGTACCCAGTAAATTTACGCCATATTCCACCCTTCAAACTGAAACACAGCCATGCGAACACAAATTCTTTACAGTTGAAACACGAATGGGACAGAGAACAGAGGTGCCTAAGCAAACGATTTTTGTACAAAGTCTCCCTCTGGTGATTGTATTTTATTGATAAACGACACGTGGAATCACTCGCATTGTAACCGCCAACTGGCCCCTTTGATAGTAATAGCTCATACATACGTGGGTAATTCGCAAATGGACGAATTGTTAGTATCTTCCGCGTCCGCACCACTGGCGTCATCTGACGGAAACACGTCAAATTGGCGATTCATGAAACCTTTCCCGGTCAACATTTTGTATCCCATTATAAATTTAGATTAGTTTACACATCCGCAATTTTATACTTTGTAACTAGTAGGTAGTTTCTTTTATAGATAATGGTATAGTAATCCCACCTGCGCGGGGGAAAGGGATTGTTAGTGATGGGGTCTTAAAAGCCCATTGCTAGCGATATACCCTATCAGGTCAATCTTCTCTTGCTTCTATCGTCACCTTAGAAACCGTCGTGGTTAATTCTTGTTATATTCATCACAATGGAGTAACTGACCCGATTATATGTTCACCTCACCATCTCTCACTAGTGTTCCGCCAGCATATATCGATAGCGCAGGCGAGGTTACCATTCCATTATCGTCCATTAAAAAAAAATGGCATATCGTACTATGAGTAACTGTATATTTTGTAATATCTATGGTACCTACGAAAATCCGTTCTCTAGTTATTTTTATAGTAGAGTACTTAAATAAATGAATCATAATTGGCGCCAAAATTGAATTGATTGCTCTGTAAGTGAGACACAGAGAGATCGTTGCAACTTCACGTTGTCTATGGTCTTTATAGAGCAATAAACTTTAATTTTTATGATGATCTATCACTGTCAATTAAATCAATAAAAGTATATTACTGTCGCGTAAACTTATTAGTATGTAAACAGTGTGATCACAAAGACTATACGATACAGCAACCTCGCTACTTCCACTCAACAACAGATGGCGGTGTTTATATTTTATATTATTAATGTTGTAGTTATTAATAGGTTGTAATTGCAGTCTTATTTATTACCGAATACAAAACATAGTTTATATATTCTTTTCAACCGACTTAAAAAAACGAGGTTCTCAATTCGGTTGTATTTTGTACGTCATAGGTTAGGTTTGTTATCTCATAATTCCGTCAGTTTTGACCCGTTTTGGAGCATTATTTTTTAACTGTAAGTATATATTTACAGATTGGTCCCATAGAAATTTTATCAAACTCGGTTAAGTAGTTTACTTTTTAGACAAAATAATTGGTTTTGTCGATTTTTTTGTGGAACACAATTTTATTTTATTTGTCTTCGTAAACAGTAAGCCCACTACACTGCGTGGCGGTTCGATTGTCCAATCTATATGCTGAGTTACGAATTGAGACATAAGAGTTATTCAGTATAGAACAATTATTTACATTATTATATTTTGATGCAAAATTAACATAATAGAAAAAGTCAAATCTCGAAATTAGCATGCAGCAATAAAAATGGATAAAGCAAAAGATGTATAAAGATATGGATAGATACATACGCGTTCGGTGAAGCTGTGAAGGTCATCAGCGGTCAACAGCAGAACACAGAAAAAAAAGTTCTCCTTGCCTACTCTGCAAAGGCTCTGTGTGAAAATAACAAGAATACCTATGACATAATTATTAACATATTTTCCAAAGATAAATATGGGATCTATGTCAAAATGGTTGCATTTTAATTTAAAATATTATTCATTTCTGTTAGGTATATTATTTAGTGTATTATTACTTCTACCTTTACCACGCCGCCTATGATTGTGTCATGAATTGGCCATAGACAATAATTACAATTATATCCCACTGCTCAGTGACAGTGTCCTTCATTACTATGTTATTATTATGATTGTGTATCAGTTGTCTTAAGCCCTGCATCAGTAATCGTGTAGATAGGTGTTTACAAAGTAAACTATATATGATAATTCCAGGCATAAATAAAGTTTCAATACTATCCTTGCATGAGGCAATTAAATTCTTATCAATAACTGATAAAATTCTGCTGATCTTTTATTTCTATGATTAGTTATATACATAATTTTAAATTTCTTTACGTTTCTTTACATTAGACGTAGCATTAGTCTAGATTTATTATAACATAAAAATAAGCAGTTGTAGGAAGTAGGTACAGGTCTTCGAGAAATTAGAAAAAAATACTGTTTTTACCATAGAGCACCTTAGATAAATATCACAGAGTAAGCAGTTTACTGCGTTAATTTAAGAATTGACACTGAACAGCCTTAACGAAATTGGAAAATTATTCTATGTAACCATCTAATAAATAAATATTCGTATAATATTCTACTTCTTGTAATATTCCTTATCCGAAATATAATATTCCTTTGTCCAAAATATAATATATTTAAATACTATTAATAACCTATTACTTTATAGTGTAAAATTTTCAAATTCAAAGAACTGGTTACATAGATTTCCAACAACTTCTTTTTTTTTAATTTAAATCATAAATTTGTGAATTGGTTCGATCTCTGTTAAACCGTTTCAATGCAAGATACAACCGATAGTCCTGCCCTCTACCTTTGACCGTAGTATGGCGGGTCAAAGTTATTTATAAGCTTTCCTTTTATTTATTTACTAACTGGCGCTAAAATATTATCGCCATTTGTCTGCTGTAGGTGTCGGTGGTAATTATATATCTCTAATTGATTTTAACTTACAGAACATAATGGTGACCGATAATGTATCTGCTAATGTTAGATTCCAAGAAACTTATTTATAAACATGAAGTTTTGCAATGTACCTACATGCCAACGCCACTGCAGACTGGTCAATGCATGATTTATATTTCTTTGAGCGTTCATAACGAAGGATTGTAATGTAATCACCTGTCAATTTTCATAATCATTATTAAAAAAAAAAAGTTTTGCCTATTTGGATAGGTTATCGGAATATGTTGCATATAAATTTACTATTAAAATATTTAAATTTAAATACTTTATATTACGCATTGAAATTTTCAAATATCCAAATTTTCAGTGATAATTCAATAAGTATATTATCGCATGATTACCGTTTTAGTTTGGAGGCAGAGCAGTTTTTATATAATCAATTAGAAGTATTTAAAATTATGAAAATATTTTTGAACGTTGACACATAATTGCGACGTTGCAACACTTTGTCAAAGCACAGATAATATAATACTTTACTTTTTTTTTAAAGGGTGAAAATGGGAATGGTAACCCCGCCTGCGCTATCGGTATACGCTGGCGGGGCACCATTGAGGGATGATAGGTGACGATGAAAGCTGGTCAGTTTGCTCATCATGATGAATTTGACAAGAATTAATCACGATGATTTACAGGAGGAACCGCGTGGAGGTCGACCTGAGAGGGTATATTGCTAGCAATGGGGCTAGTAATCCCCATTACTAACATTCCCTTTCCCCCCTAATCTTGTAATTAAATATAGGCATAGGCAGTCCTTGTTATGATCAAACAATTGTATAATAAGATTAGATTATAAACATGTTTTTGTCGTGACAATAATGTAATGTAACTATATGTATTGCCTTATCATAATTTGTTATGTATTTCTTTTATCAATTGTTGCATTTTACTGTTACTGATTTCGATCTTTCACTAAATACCTATTCATACAATTTATAAAAAAATTTACAATTTAAAAGAGCTTGTATACAATAGGGATGGGTACTATAAAGCAATATCTATATATTCTAGTTACGATATCTAGGTATATATACTGGGCTAATAATGAATATCTTAAAAGTCTGTTATCATAATAATGCATGCATAGATAGATGGTTGCATGTTTAAGAGTAAAAACTCTACATACATACATATCTGTCACGCCTGTCTCCCATTAGGGTAGGCAGAAACAATGGAACGCCAAATGCTTCGATTCAAACAAACCTCTTTTACGTAAATTTATAGATACGAATGAAATTTAGTACACTAGTAATTTATATCCTAACTCAGCATACAGGATTGTTAATGTACTAATACACGCGGGCAAAGCCGCAGGAGGAGAAATTAACTCTTACACACACTTACACAAACACTGACACACACTTACACAAACACTGACACACACACACGTTCTCATGCGCACGCACGCATGCACTCACACGCACTCGGTCGCTTTTCCGCTCTCATCCATACTGAGTCCTCAGGAATGGCAACGAATGGGGGGTATCATGGGTGAACCAGTATACTCTGTTATATTCATGATACTGCTCACGTCTATAGGCGACGCTTAGCACTTTCCATCAAGTGGGCCGTCAGCTTGTTTGCTATTCTAAGTTGTGTAAAAAAATTTTTTTTTTTAGTAAAGTTGAAAGTTAAATTATCTTAAACTTAATTAGGTACATTTATATAGTTCATGATCATTAAGTTATTAGAAAATTTATATTGATATGACTAAACTTTCAGTTCTTGAAATTATACGCGTAACAAAGCGTATTGTAAATTAGGTTAAAAACGTTGACGTACGTCCAGTTATAAGAGAAATAATACCTACGGGTTTTTCCTCAAAATTACTCATTATAGCCCTCATATAAAACAATTATCCCATTTATTTGTTCCATTAAATATGTGACACTGTGCTGAGACAAACGTGTTTTTTTAATTATTAACGTGATATAATAAAGTACACAAACATTGTGTTATTAAGTGAATTAGATAAAAAAGAAATAGTGAAAATTAATTTTTTAATTAGGTAGCACTAAATAAAAAAAAATAGTGTAAAAAAAGTGCAATGGTGCAGCGAAATTCTGCAATGCGTGTCAGCATTGAAGGGTTGAAAAGAATGGTGTCGGTACGCCGTGGTAACAGCGAGGTAACTTTTTTTTTTATTCAACTTAGTATGGTAAACAAGCTGCCGGCCCATCTGATGGAAAGTGGTAACCGTCGCCTATAGACATGAGCTGTACTATGGACATAACAGAGTATACTGTTTCGCCCATGATACCCCCCATTCGTTGCCAATCCTGAGGACTCAGGTGTTATTCCTCCGTACCTAGATAACTCCGTAACTAAATTCATGTCGTATCCCACCCTTCAAAATTTTCATACAATTTTGCGTGATAAATAGTTATGAGTGATTCCTTTATAACTTCTATATTTATTTTGTCTTATAAATTCTGCACCTTTTTAAATGCGCAAAAACTAATTTTATTCATAAATATAGATATGTCAAGATACATTAAGCGCGTAAATACATAGAACATTAAAAAAAATGAGTCAGTTAATTTGACAATTACTGACAAAAACTATCTACGTAATTTAAGCTCCTTACACGCACGTTGATAAAATCTAAAACTCTCCATGCACGTCACGATTTTAGACAACATCACAGATATGAATGTAAATATATAGATGTCGCACTTTGTTGATTAATTTTTTTAATTTCGATTTATACTTTTTATAATGCAATATGCAATTTAATAGAAATAATATTTTTTAAAGGGTAAACGGGATTTGCTATTTATTTGTAACGTAAATGGGCATTACAATGAAGAGTTTTTCTAAAAATCTTACAGAAGGAGGATAACCGGTTAAATGGAAGAAATAAAATATTGTTTACTATAACAGTTTCCTATTTAAGGTACAAATACGATGTATATACAAACAAACACATAGTGACATCACAACAGCTCAACCGGAAACAGCTGATTGACAGGTCGAGCAGTCAAACTGTGCCATTTGGTATCTATAATGAGATATTGTCGAAATAATTAACGTTTTCATTGAATAATGGAGACATTATAATTAATATCTGAGTTTATATTTACATTCGTACTTATTACTGTCCCTGCAAATGATATCCATGTCTGATAGCTACATTGTTAATGGAATAATACAATAGACGGACGTATTAATAATCTTTAAATATTCACGCTCTCTCTACCTCTCTGTCTCTTTTTATTTCTATTAAACTATAGTATTTTTGGTATAGGTTTCATTCTTATTTATAATTTCTTAAAGAATTGTTTGCACAAATGTTTCCTATAAGTGAAATGATGGGGCGGGTTTCTATTGCTACTATGAAGTTATATAAACAAAGTAAATCAAATATATTGAATTATTTATACTTTATTATATACAATAATAATTTTTATGGAACCAATTTTAATGTATAATTTTAGATAAAAAAGAATTTTTCCAAATCGGTTAAGTACTGACAGAGTTATGAGGTATAAATACAAAGTCAAAGAATAAATAATATAATAAAAAAACGGTATATATATATATATATATATATATATATATATATATATATATATATATATATATATATATATATATATATATATATATATATATATATATATATATGTGTTGCTATACATAAGGTGTGATTAACATTTAAAATCCTTAATTATTATTGTGTCATAGGTACATATACACATAGTATATACTTAATAATTATAGCACATATGTGCTAACAGCTAACTAATGTTTTAGTCATGATGATTATCGGAAACAAAGTTGATAGTGATATCTTATCAAACTAAATTATGCGACCTCATGTGTGACTGTAGTGTTTACGGCCAAGTTCTTAATTGGCATAGATCATAGGTACATTAAGGTTGACTGTAAGAGATCCCTTTATGGGGTATGTCCGCCATTGTATATTAAATCATTTACCAGTGTTTAATCTGAGTTATGTACAATAAAGATTTTACAATACAATACAATACATTATTAATCCGTTTCATAGACACACCGTACGCTCAATAATATTATGGAGTAAATAAAAACTGCGAGATTTTGTAATAAAAAGCTATATATATATATATATATATATATATATATATATATATATATAGGCGCGAAAAAATGTAACTCATATTTTTTTGTACTCAATAGTTATTTGAAAGAAATCGCTAAAGTGTTAAAAAAGATAATAATAAAATTTAAGATTTTTATATTAATAAAGGTCGTTATTAAATTTGTGTATGTTTTTATTTTGGTATGAAATAAGTGTAGGCAATATATGTAGTTCGATAAAATTTCAAATTAATATCTATCCAACGGGTTTTTTTTTGATGGGTGAAAATGGTATGGTAACCCCGCCTGCGCTAACGGGATACGCTGGCGGAGCACCAGTGAAGGGTGATAGATGAGAATGAAAACAGGCCAGTTAGCCCATCATGATGAATTCATCAGGAATTAACTATGATAGTTTTCAGGGAGAAACGCGAGGAGGTCGACCTGGTTGGGTATATTGCTAGCAATGGGATTCTCAGTCTACATTACTAACAATCCCTTTCCTCCCTACCCAACGGGTTTTGTAGCATTTATTTTAATAACAATCCATTTGTTACTTTGGTAAATAAATAAATACATAAAATATAAAGAATTATATTTTAGCTTTATTTCTCTATAAAAAAACGCTAACGATATGCTTTCTTACTGTACTGAGTTGACTGGAAGAAATCTCTGTCAGAGATAAGTCCACCCTTGCTCACAACATTTATAAATGCATTATGTTACATGTAATTAACATGCAATAAAGAATATTTTAAAAAAATATATCATAAATTCTGTATATTAAAGCGATAATTAATTATTGTTGACTTACAGTGAACTTGGCGTCTTTTTGCAGAACTGATAACATTATCAACTATCTGAATCATACTAAACATATGTTTCAACTATATTTAGTTGTAATATAGTGACATATTTAGAAACACGTGTGTGTGTATTAGTGTATATATACAAACGGTCAATGTAGAAAATGGATTCGGCAGAGACCCACAATTTGGTAAATACCTGTAATGCTATTTACATATGTACTTGTATCATATTATAGTATGGTATTTTTTTTAATAGGTGATAATGGATTTGTAACCCTGCCCGCGTTATCGGTTTACACTGGCGGGGCACCAGTGAAGGATGATAGGTGACGATGAAAACAGGTCGGTTAACCCATCGTGATGGGGGGGAAAGGGATTGTTAGTGATGGAGACAGAATCCCATTGCTAGCAATATACCCAATCAAGTCGACCTCCTCGCGGTTCCCCCTGGAAACTATCATGGTTAATTCCTGATGAATTCATCATGATGGGCTAACTGGCCTGTTTTCATTCTCATCTATCACCCTTCACTGGTGCTCCGCCAGCGTATCCCGTTAGCGCAGGCGGGGTTACCATTCCCAAAAGTAAAGTTCTCCGATGTGTTTTTGAACTACAGCTTTATATGCACTCCAAAATATAAGCTAGTAACAAGCATTAATAATTATTAACATAATTTTATGCAACTTAGAATGGCAAACAAGCTGACGGCCCACCTGATGGAAAGTGGTTACTGTCGCCTATAGACATGAGCAGTACCGTGGACATAACAGAGTATACTGTTTCACCCATGATACCCCCCATGCGTTGCCATTCCTGAAGACTCAGGTGTTATTCCTCTATACCCTGTAAATTCACTGCCATATCCCACCCTTCAAACCGAAACGCAGCCATGCAAACAACTGCTTCACGGTTGACACACGAATGGAACAGAGGTGGTCAAGCAAACGACTTTTGTACAAAGTCTCCCTCTGGTATAAAAGATGAATTGGAAAAGATCAGAGGTTCAATTTAGCATTCTTTCCTCAGATTCCTGCTATCCAATCACGCGTAGCTATTGTTCAACTGTGTTTAAAAAACATAATTTATAACACTAGCTACTCTGAAATATGAAATGTGAATTTTGTACCTATTCGTAGATGTTTTATGTGGTTAGTACATAATTAATTTAGTCTATCCGTCGACTCTTTAAATATTCAGTCTAAAGGTAGTGTTCATAATAACAAAATACAAGGGTCGAGCTTGACTATATACCTAAGTACTAGGTACATACACGTACAAAATAATCTACCTACATACATGTATGTATTATTTATATCAATTAGATATACTTAAATGTTTATAATTTAATGAATTTATATTCCAATAAGTAAATATTGTGGGATTGAGAAAATAAGTGTCTAAATTTCAGTAGAAATTCTGCTAATTTTATAAATGTACAAAAAATTTTTAAAAACGTTTCCATGTTTATATGTAACTAATATAAATAATCACTAACTAAATCACGTTTAAACGACTGAAACCTTTGTATACTGATGCATGTGGAACACTAAATTTGGGAGTAGAGATCCCACAAAATTAGTTATACCAAAATATAAAACTTCTCTATATTAAAAGAATTGCTATTTACCGTCTATTAAAATTTGATAAACTTAACATACAGGAACCTTTGTATACTGATGCATGTGGAACACTAAATTTGGGAGTAGAGATCCCACTAAATTAGTTATACCAAATCTTAAAACTTCTCTATATTAAAAGAATTATTATTTACCGTCTATTAAAATTACCAATAAAATTCCTTACACCTTCAAAGAATTACCAAATAAATACTTTAGAGCTCAATCACAAAAGTAGCTCGTTGACCACTGCTTTTTTAATCAATTAATGAATTTATTAAATTAAAAGTAAAATATGCATAAATATTATAATGATATTATTGATACTAAATAGACCTACTAATATATATTTATATGTTCTTATAATATCAAATGTAATGAAGTATATTAATTGACCTGAAATTGTATTTGGTATATTTTAGTTTATAAGAATTGTTTTAAAACTTAATTCTATCAATATTTGTGTATTTCAAATTGTCCGCGCCTAATTATTGCAAAATATGTGGATTTATACCTATTTTAACATGTTTATACATACCACGTTTGTTGCAAATGAATATAATAATTTATTCATTAATTCATTCATTAAAGCCACAGAAGCATATAATATATTTTATAGCATAAGATTTTGTTCTAGTCCTAAAATTAAATCTCACAAATTTACACATAGTATCTACCATCAGATTTGTACGTAGGTGAGTGGAAGTGTAATTATTCGTAGAAGCATTGTAGTTAAATGTTAATTAAGGACCTAAATGGAAATACTATTCCCGGGTTCCTAATCCTCACCTCAAGCTAGGGGTAACATGTATAAATCATTAGAGTGCTCGCCACACTAGCAACTTTTTAAAACATTTTATTTATTTATTTATACTTTATAGCATCTTAAAAAAAACAATAAATACTGTTAATATTAATTATAAATAATGTATTTTGTTTTTATTGCTATAGAGAATGCTTGACTAGTTGTGGGACATAAAATAATAAATCTATATTCGGGACTATTAGAAACCCTTAATCATGAGTCACCAATTTTAAAAATGTCGATTTATTCCTATAATAAATAAATTCATCGCATTTCGAATTTTTAAATTATTATACAAATCTTAAATACAAAATTTTATTTAGGTATTTATTTACACACACACAAACAAACGCGCGCGCGCGTTTGCGCACACACACACCCACGCACGCGCATACACACACACTCGCACGCACAGGCGCACACGCACACTCGCATGCACGCACATGCAGAGACACACACACACACACACACACACACAAAGTTATTAGTACTATTAGTATTATTATACATTGCGACTTTTAGTCGCCAATCTATGCTCTCATTTATCGATCAAACCCTCCCGAAGAAGGTCGGCGTGACCTTGGTACAGCGACCTTCGTGTTCGCGTCAAGGGCGACCTTTCTAATCTCAACTGAAAGACCATTACAGACCGTTGACCTTCTTTGAAAGGTCTTTTTTATCCACGAAATTGCCCTAACTGATTGAAAAAGTTATACAACTTTTGTTAAGACTTTTTTAGTGGTTGGAGCTGTATAAAGGTTTTTCTTCTCGACTATTTGTTTTCTAATAGTTTATAAATAATTATTTATGTTGTGAGATATTGATGAAAGTTTATTGTATCGATTATATATATAATAATAGATGTTGCCCGCGGCTTTGTACGCGTGAAATTGTGCTTTTTATTTCAGAAATTCTTACTTAGTGAATGCTTTCAAATTTCAGTTTTCTAGACTTAGCAGCTTTGGCTATGCGTTGACTGTCAATCAGGATAAACGATTTTATAAGTATTGATTATTTAAAATACAGGGAAAAAAAAGAAAGATTTATTTATTAATTTTACACTTAATTACAAAAAGAAAAATATTTAACAATAACCAAAAAGGAAAAAGAAAGTACTAAAATAGTGTCATTCAGTTATACACCATGTTCTTTCGAACTTTACGCTGATTTTCACTTGTACTTACTTTGTTTTTACTTTTCTATATATAATATTGTGATCCGCTAAAGTCTAAAGAATATACAAACTGTCATATTTATTTTAATAAGGATAAAGATTTCAATTGTGTTTTAGTATTAAAAAAACGTTTGTTTTTCTTACAGCGACGTGATTTGGAATCGCAACAGACGTCTCCTAGCAGGAATCCATGGAAATGGAGGCTATTATGTGATGCTCCTCTGCTGATAATCAGTGAGTTATAAATACTTTTTGTATTTTTGCTTTCTTCTTTATGCAAAATGGTAACACATAAAGTGGGTATGGGTGTCACTGTGTATTCTGTGACACCTATGGAGCTGTTCATCCCGTAGACTTTTTCCATCAGGTAGTCCGACATATTATCTGCCATTATAATTATCCTATTAATATAATAAATGTGAACGGTTGTCTAACCAATATTTTATGGGTGATAATGGAATGGTATCCCAACTCGTGCTCGTAACCTCACCCGCGCTATCAGTATATACCGGCGGAGCACCAGTGAAGGATGATAGGTGAGGATGAAGCAGGTTAGTTAGCCCATCGTGACGAATTCAACAAGAATTGTTCACGATGGTTTCCAGGGGGAACCACGTGGAGGTCGACCTAATAGGGTATATTGCTAGCAATGGGGCTGTCAAACTCCATTGCTAACAACTCCTTTCCCCCCATAATCAGTGAGTTATAAATACTTTTTGTATTTTTGCTTTCTAAATTAGTATGGGTGTCACTGTGTTAGCTTAGTTAGTTAGCTATGTGCTATATATGTATACTTTATGTTATAATTCACACATATATACATATATATATATATATATATATATATATATATATATATTATAATATTTTATTGAATTGTCACAAAATGCGTAAACAAAATGGTAGTCGGAGATTGATGGCTACTATGGAAGGTTGTGGAACATCTGGTAGTAATAATGGTGGTTAGTCTTCAAGTGTTGGCAGTCACACAAACATACTAATGAAATGTTTAATACGGATTAAACAAAATAATTCTAAAATCAAATACAGTTAAACATAGAACCACCTTTGTTTTAAGTGAATAAAAAAATATAGACAAATTGAAAATTCTCACTCCTTGGAAGTCGCTTACAAGTCAAATATTTTTTGTTATATAAGTCAAAACGCACACTGTAGAATTCATAGCTACATTATTAATGCAAGCAATTTTTCAACGCAGACACGTGAAGTTGTTTTTTTTTTTTTAATACAGCGATTGCGGGTATTCCGCCATATATAGCCCAGAGATGTCGCCACATGTGTCACATGTTGTTATCTGATCACGTACGCGAAACAGCTGAAGTATTTTTTTTTAACTTTTTCTTCAAAACTCGCGCTGGCTCCGTTAAACGCATCTGCATCTGATGGTGATAAAAATGTTAATGATTTTTAACAGATTCTAAACATTTTTTTTACGTAATAGGTACATATGGGGTGTCTACCCCATAGGTAGATATCAGTTATCATATAAAAAATGGGCGTGCTTCGCTATTTTTGGTCCTAAAAATCTTTATTATGAATGTTGTTTGTTTGTATGTTACCCCTTGACGTTTTAATGGCTTCTTCACTAATCACTATGAAAATTGGTATACACGTATTATATCGGATGGAAAAGACATAGGCTACCTTTTATTCTGGTTAGTGAAAATATGTAGCCCACGTGGACAAAGACAGGAGCTAAGCTAGTATTTTAGATATTTCATACCCTATCGTGCAGGGGGAAAGGGATTGTTAGTAATAAGATTTAACAACCTTATTACAATACGCGCCATCAGGTCGACTTCCACGCGGTTTCCTCTGGAAGCCATAGTGGTTAATTCTTGTTAAATTGGTCACTATGGGCCAACTGACCTGCCTTCATCCTCACCTGTCACCCTTCACTGGTGTCTCGTCGAGGTTACCATTTCATTTTCACCCATAAAAAAATACCCTATCGTGCAGGAGGGAAGGAATTGTTAGTAATGGGGAGTTTAGTCCCCATTGCTATCAATATACCCTATCAGGTCGACCTCCACGCGGTACCCCTGGAAACTATCGTGACCACTTTATTGAATGAATTTGTCACAATGGGCTAACTGACCTGCCTTTTCATCCTCACCTATCACCACTCACTGGTACCCCGCTAGTGTATACCGATAGCGCAGGCGGGGTACCATGCCATTTTCACTCATAAAGAAAAAAAAAACCCTATCGTGCACTATGGCCGGTCCCATAGACAATATCATGTTATTACACTAGTTAATTTTTATTTTATTTCAAGTAAATAAAGCCACGTACGAGTTATAGTTAGTATATGCTAGCGCGGCGTTTTCATCGAGGTTTTGTGATCGATAACTTTTATAGGTAATCGATTTTACGGTCATTATGGTAAACACAGTATAATCGAGTGAAGCCAGGAATCGATTATCGCCGGATATTAATATAGTTATAGGAAATATGATTTTAAGTATATTCTTGTAGGTGACCTCGTTATTAGAGAGTTATTACAATGTACCTTATACATGTTTAATAGATTTGGTGTTTTATATTAGTTACAAAAAAAAACAGTGCTGTTTATTTTTGGAATTTAAATCATCATCATCATCATCGTATCATCTATTAACTGTCCACTGCTGAACATAAGCCTGACCTATGTTCAGCAGTGGACAGCAAAGGGGTAACCTATTCTATACCGGGACCACTATATTACTAATACACACACACATATATATATATATACATATATATATATATATATATATATATATATATATATATATATATATATATATATATATATATATATATTATAATATTTGATTGAATTGTCACAAAATGCGTAAACAAAATGGTAGTCGGAGATTGATGGCTACTATGGAAGGTTGTGGAACATCTGGTAGTAATAATGGTGGTTAGTCTTCAAGTGTTGGCAGTCACACAAACATACTAATGAAATGTTTAATACGGATTAAACAAAATAATTCTAAAATCAAATACAGTTAAACATAGAACCACCTTTGTTTTAAGTGAATAAAAAAATATAGACAAATTGAAAATTCTCACTCCTTGGAAGTCGCTTACAAGTCAAATATTTTTTGTTATATAAGTCAAAACGCACACTGTAGAATTCATAGCTACATTATTAATGCAAGCAATTTTTCAACGCAGACACGTGAAGTTGTTTTTTTTTTAATACAGCGATTGCGGGTATTCCGCCATATATAGCCCAGAGATGTCGCCACATGTGTCACATGTTGTTATCTGATCACGTACGCGAAACAGCTGAAGTATTTTTTTTTAACTTTTTCTTCAAAACTCGCGCTGGCTCCGTTAAACGCATCTGCATCTGATGGTGATAAAAATGTTAATGATTTTTAACAGATTCTAAACATTTTTTTTACGTAATAGGTACATATGGGGTGTCTACCCCATAGGTAGATATCAGTTATCATATAAAAAATGGGCGTGCTTCGCTATTTTTGGTCCTAAAAATCTTTATTATGAATGTTGTTTGTTTGTATGTTACCCCTTGACGTTTTAATGGCTTCTTCACTAATCACTATGAAAATTGGTATACACGTATTATATCGGATGGAAAAGACATAGGCTACCTTTTATTCTGGTTAGTGAAAATATGTAGCCCACGTGGACAAAGACAGGAGCTAAGCTAGTATTTTAGATATTTCATACCCTATCGTGCAGGGGGAAAGGGATTGTTAGTAATAAGATTTAACAACCTTATTACAATACGCGCCATCAGGTCGACTTCCACGCGGTTTCCTCTGGAAGCCATAGTGGTTAATTCTTGTTAAATTGGTCACTATGGGCCAACTGACCTGCCTTCATCCTCACCTGTCACCCTTCACTGGTGTCTCGTCGAGGTTACCATTTCATTTTCACCCATAAAAAAATACCCTATCGTGCAGGAGGGAAGGAATTGTTAGTAATGGGGAGTTTAGTCCCCATTGCTATCAATATACCCTATCAGGTCGACCTCCACGCGGTACCCCTGGAAACTATCGTGACCACTTTATTGAATGAATTTGTCACAATGGGCTAACTGACCTGCCTTTTCATCCTCACCTATCACCACTCACTGGTACCCCGCTAGTGTATACCGATAGCGCAGGCGGGGTACCATGCCATTTTCACGGATAAAGAAAAAAAAAACCCTATCGTGCACTATGGCCGGTCCCATAGACAATATCATGTTATTACACTAGTTAATTTTTATTTTATTTCAAGTAAATAAAGCCACGTACGAGTTATAGTTAGTATATGCTAGCGCGGCGTTTTCATCGAGGTTTTGTGATCGATAACTTTTATAGGTAATCGATTTTACGGTCATTATGGTAAACACAGTATAATCGAGTGAAGCCAGGAATCGATTATCGCCGGATATTAATATAGTTATAGGAAATATGATTTTAAGTATATTCTTGTAGGTGACCTCGTTATTAGAGAGTTATTACAATGTACCTTATACATGTTTAATAGATTTGGTGTTTTATATTAGTTACAAAAAAAAACAGTGCTGTTTATTTTTGGAATTTAAATCATCATCATCATCATCGTATCATCTATTAACTGTCCACTGCTGAACATAAGCCTGACCTATGTTCAGCAGTGGACAGCAAAGGGGTAACCTATTCTATACCGGGACCACTATATTACTAATACACACACACATATATATATATATATATATATATATATATATATATATATATATATATATATATATATATATATATATATATATATATATATATATATATATATATATATATATATACATATATATATACAGGTATAGGCATACTAGCTGGCCGGCAAACGTTGTTCTGTCATACAAATATTTTTTTCTGGATAGAAACATTCTAATTACCTAGCGATATGCAATATACTTTACAAACTATTCTCATACGCACCAAATATAAAAAAAAAAACATACAAATCGGTCATACGGTTTCGGAAGAGTTCGATCATAAACACTGTTTTTTTATACATATAAAATGTAAAATATTTTTCAAATGTCTTTTCTAATAATATGTACAAAAAAATTTTACACAAAATTAGGTTCAGTTATTTTTAGATTGTTTTATACTAGCTATGTCCCGCAGCTGCGCCCGTTTAATAAGTATATAAAGTATGCACTATGTGCCAAGTTAGAATATATTCTACCCGTGAACCAAACCCCATCCATCCATCCAAAA